TTTAAGAAAGGATAATAGGACCATTTTATATGGTATCTCTCCTTAATTTCAACTTGAACACATAATAAGTTTTATTTTTTTTTTAACAAAACCATTTGAAGCATTTTGATAAGGTCAACAGAAAGCATGGTCTTTTAACATTAGGTGATCAACTTTTTGACAATGGCAGGGCCAGCACAGCTAATGGCATAATAGCCTGCAGGTCCAGCTAAATATGATAGACGAATGTAATCAACCTCTGCAATGACTATTCAAAAGTAATCCCTTTAGCTTTGAACTGCAGCGTATATTTCAGCCAGGCAAAACCCACATGAAGAAATTCTCTGCAGAGCACACTGATACAATACAACCCTCACACTCTGCTCTCTGGGTTTGGCGCTTATAGTGCGTTTTAAATTTAAGGTAATGACTACTGTATATTCATGTGAGCATGCAACAATACTTTTGATTTGTTGTGGAAAGGTTGAATCCATTACCAGGGGTCTAGTCTATAAACCCTGGCACAACCTTTACATATGAGTTATGATTTACCCTTTTCCAAGATACAGCTACTAAAAATGTTTTGCATGACAAAATTTTAAAAATTCATTCACCTATCTAGTCACCAAACTGCCAGAGAGTGTGTTACATTTCAATCCAAACTTATCTACATGATCTCATTTATACTCAACACTACATTTTATGAAGATAATACACCACTGCTTTCAAACAAAGGGATTTTACTGCAAGATGACTGTGATTCGACATTGTCAGGCTTGTTCCTTCACAGGATAGACCAGGTATAAATCACATCTCCCCACTGCCCACTTGAGAGAATCTACCATTTGGGATGTCTTCACTGTTAGCAAAATAGAATGCTCATTTCTGTGGACATGGAAAATGATACGAACAAATGTCACCCTTGAGCTTTCCACAGTCTCATGTTGACTATTGGTTCAGTCTCCTAGCTCCGAGGCCCTACAGGTCAAACATTCCAAATCATACCCTCGTCAGACCCATAGCCCAAAACCCAGACTAGGCCAGAAAACGAGTGCCCCAGCAATGATAGAGTCCTCAGCCCTGAGGAACTCACTTTGCTTCAAGTGAACAGAGGCTCAGAACACTTGGAGAGGAAGTGGGAGTGTTCCCATATGTGTATTAGCCCATTGCCAAGACTTCCTAGCTGACAACATGGAATGTCTCTGTGTTCCACTAGTAGTTGTAGCCAAGTAGAGTAGATTATTAGTAACATATATAGCTATTCTTCTCAGAGAATCTTCATGGACAATATCCCAGTGTAAACATCATTTTCCTTCAGCATCTGGGAAGTGGATACCAAATGACTGAAACCAAACTTGACAACTCCAAGCAAAACTTCTTCAGTCTATCTCACTGCTTCATTGGCCACACTAAAAGGAATATCCAAACTAAGACACCAGAGAGAGCAATTGAGCGGGAGACGCGGCTCATGCTTGCCTAAAGTACACAAAACCCTGGCTTCAATCAGCACATAAACCCATCCATTGTGGTGGTACATGCCTGTAATCCCAGCACTTGGAAAGTCAAGACAGGAAATCAGAAATTTAAGGCCATCCTTGGCTACAAAGCAAGTCTGAGAATATTCCTGTTAGGACTGAAGAAATGAATGCTTTGGGAGTGATAGGGCCAGGAGTCCCCACTCCTATTTTCTTGAAACCCTGTTAAGGATACTAGAATATTTCCATACATTCAATGGAAACATTCAACTGAAAAACCATAAGGGGAATCTTATCTAAAAGAAGGCATCCAGGCATGGTGGCACATACCTTCAGTTACAGCCTTAGGAGACAGAGGCAGGCAGATCTCTGAGTTCAAAGCCAGCCTAGAATACATAAGAGAGTTCAAGAACAGCTAGGGGTAAACAATGAGACCCTGTCTCAAAGAGCATAGCAGGGCATATCATCAGAAAGGCTATGCTCCTGCTATAGAAACTCCCAAAGTACAGTCAATACCTTACGAATATGGACATTCATTTTTCTCTCAGTAAACATTCTATATAACAATTCCTTACATATGACAAAGCACTTGGAGGTAGTGATTTTCTATCTTACTGCTCTATGTCCCCCAACCTCAGGGCAGGGTTTCTCAGATTTATACTATTGAAAGGATTGTCTCTAGGGAAAGAGTTAGGTTTGTCATATGTGTCATATCAGGTCCTCATCATGCTAAATCAAGTATCACTTCCTCTTATCAGTTATAACAAGGAAAATATCTCCTTGAAATTTCGAAATGTCCTATAGGGAGACAAAGTCACCCCTCCTGCAGCTGAGAACTATTCCATCAAAGTCTTGTCAGTCCTTGCAAGATAGAGTCTGAATGATAGAGTAACTGCTTCACATTCCAGACTAGGAAAAGGTGGGCTGGGTGAGGTGGGGCACATCTTCAATCCCAGCACTTGAGAGGCAGAAAAGTGGATTGCTATGAGTTCAAGGCAAGTTCTAGGACAGCCAAAGCTACATGTGGTGATATCTTTCTTGCACAAATAAAGCCTGTCTTGGGGTCAGAGAATAGAGCTTGCCACTAGCTAACCACAGAGATCTGGAGGTCTGTACAGACAGGCAGGAAATGACATAGCTGGGCAGTAACAGTATACAAGCAGGGACTAACATGAAATTGCTCTCTTCTCTGTGGAGATGTAGCAGGAGGTAAGGTGTGCTGTGGCTTGCTCCTTCTCTCTACTCTCTCAGCATTTCCCTCTGTATCTGACTCTGGCCTTTTATTGCCTAGACCAATTAAGAACTCTATTTTACAGCTACATCATTTAAATACATACATACATACATACATACATACATACATACATACATGAAAGGGAGAAATGTAAAGAGAAGTAAACGTAAAATGTCTAACACTAGACCTGTGTGCAGCACATACAACTGTTAAATATTGGATACAAAGGTAGAAAAGATCTACTAGAAATGACAGCATTGTGATGTGAGTGTGAAGTTTGCACACTTGCTCCCAGGGCACAGTTGTGCTGTTTAGGAAGGTTATGGAGTCTTTAGGAGGAGAAGCCTTGCCAGGGAAATGAGTGACTAAGGGCAGGCCTTAAGGTTTTATAGCCAAGTCCTACTTCATGTCTACTCTGCTTACTGACTACAGTTACCTTCCCTCCCTGCCTTCACCCACTGTGGCAAGCTGTATCTTTTCTTAAATTGTCAGTCAAAATAAATCCAAAAGTTGCTGCTAAACCTGTGTTGAATCATGCACAAAAACAGCCTGCCAAGTGAGAAGCAGAAGGGATTTCAGGAGCCATGTTTTGTGTGCATAAGAAATGAGATGTAGGGATGGCTGTTGATGCAGGAAATTGAGACTGGACAGGGCTTGCATTGGCTGATAATGGTCAGTTCTCTATATATGACAGAGGAAAGTGATGGCTGAATAAAGAGTAAAGGATGAGAGCTAAGAGAGCAGGGGCCAAAGTGGAATAATTCACAAGCAGAGTGAGAACAAACCTTCCACTTATAGCTAGACAACACTGAGTATGAGTGGTTTGTTGCATAATCTGACAAGAAGGGTGTTAGAGAGGAAGAAAAAAGACAAATGAGCTAAAAGAATGGCAGCCCATGTAGATACATATCCATCACCATAGCAGCAGCAAAAGGGGACAAAAAGGGCTCCTGGACTCTCAAAATAAACTTGCAAAGGGGACTCCAGAAAGCAGGGTGATAGAGTGTGGTACTAATAGCACATCAAGTTATGAATTTCTCATATTCGAAAATAGAATACAGGAACCTAGGCCACCTGCAAACTGTTGCAGGCAAGGGTGGATTTGAGTAGAAAGCAAAAGAGAAAATGTGAAAGTTAGGTAGCAAATCGACAGAGACAAACAGACTGACAGACAGGCAGACTTGCCACATTTGACTTCATTATTTGGTAATTCATACTTTAGCTAAAGTAACATTGCTTCTGAGTATCATTTTAACAAGCCATTTTACTAGCAACAGTGCCTACCCTTACAGTATTTACTTGAGTACTAACTTACAGTACTCTATAAGTTAAATTTTCAGGCAGGACTTGGATAGACACCAGTTGGGTAACTTAAGTCATTCTCAGATGACAAAAGGGGTAATTTGAAGGGTCAAAGGCAGGCTTGCTCACACACTGGAGCCTTGGAGTCAGCAGGGAAGCTACAGGCCTCTTCTGAGCTAGCTTAGGAAGTCATGCCAGTGGTCACTTCTGGGCTAGCCTAGGAAGTCATGCAAGTGGTCACTTCTGGGCTAGCCTAGGAAGTCATGCAAGTTGTTACTTCTGGGCTAGCCTAGGAAGTCATGCAAATGGTAGCTTCTGGGATAGCACCCAGACATGCACATGATCACTTCTAATGTGACTGTTGATTTTTGATGCCTGAAGGATAGTTCAAGAGAAGAGAAAGAAGATTGTGCTTCTTGGTGGGGGATTGAAAAGGTCACACTGTAGGAATGTGGAATGAGAGGTATGATTGTGCCATCTTTGGACCATCCAATCTACCCTAGTGATAGAAGCACCTTTATTACTTAAGTGCTAAACAGTACAGTCCCTGAAAAGAGATTTTCATTGATGAACCAGTCTGATTCCATCTTGAGATTAGAAGCCATCTTATTACAAGGCCAAAATAAGTTCCTTCCTGTTTTCTGTATACCTTGGGTTTGACCAGTTCTTGACCCATCTTACAGAATCTGACATGCCCCACACCTATACCTTGACCTCCACCCTGAGGATGAGATGTTCTGCTAAATAATTTTAAGATGTTCAGCCAAGTTCCTACATAACAAAAAAACCCATAGAAACCCCCTAGCCTTGCAGTTTTTTGGCTATTAAAAAAAAAAAACTCTCCTGTATGTGGGGCTAATTCTCTCAAACCCTGCTTGAGGGAAATAACTTCTCTGACAGAAAATAAAGCTTGCTTAATTCAATAAAATTACTTGAGTAGGTGGTTTTTACTCTCATTCAATGGGATTAAGACTAGGAAAAGCTTTGAATTTATTTTCTTTTTCCCTTAGGAGAGGCTAGGAGAGCCACAGAGGATGACATATATCAATACCCAGATATTCAGGAAGAAATAATAAGGTACTGCTCAAAAACTTTCTACTAAGAGCCAATTTTGTGTGAGATACTAAACATAACCTTTTTTATTTTTGTTTTAGTTTATGGGTGTGAGCTTTTCATCTGCATGTATGTATGTGTACACCATGTATGCCTGATGCCCTAGGAGGCCAGAAAAAGGCATCAGATCACCTGGAACTGGAGTAACATGAAGTTGTGAGCCACCATGTGGTGCTAGGAGCCACACCCAGGCTGTCGGGCACCTGCCCAGCCCCTAAACAGTCTTGTTCCTCACAACAAATCACACTTCACCTGGTGGTAGCTAAGCTAACCACCCCAGACTCACTTTGAGATCCCACAAACTAAGTAATTTTCATCTTCAAGATATGTTTTTAAACACAGGAAGCAAAATTCTTTTTCAAAGCAAGTTGTTTTTAACTTCCTAGCACAATGCAAAAGTTAATCTTATCATTTATTTTATTTCAGATCTCCAGATAATCAATAAAATGAAACTTAAGTGGCTCAACATCAAGGCAAGAAGAAATTTAGCGCATAGCCTTAGACTTCATTTGGTCAGAGTGGGTAAGAAGTAATATACAGCTAGAGAAAGACTAGGATTGTTTCTATTGAATGTTTGCTGCAGTGACCATGGAAAGTTTATGAAGATGAAGAGCTTGCATCATTAGAAAGATCAACAATTACTCATAAAATAAACTCTAAAACATTTCCTCTTACACACTACTCCACATGAAGTCATGGCATCCAAGAATCAAATTTTAATTATTCCTGATTGTAAAATATTTTCAAGTTAAAGAAATCTTTTGTGCTGAATAAATGCATGATAATATTCGCTAAAATTCCAGGGAGGTACCCCAGCATGCACAAAGGGCCCTGTGCAGTCTGTGGTGTGCTTGTATTGCTAAGTGCTGCTCCATTTGCTTGATGTGTGGAAACTTAAATTTACAGCATGTTTAGGTGATAGGACACAACCTGGCATACACATGTACATTTCAGATGGTTGGGGACACCCTTTAGTGCTTTCAACTGAAAGATGTGTGGCTAAATTGGCTACCTCCAAAATACATGGAACTCTCAGATGAATCCATAAAGGTAGTACATCGCCAAGAATAAGGAGTTTTCCTTTAATGCAGTCAGGGTGTATACTCCAGAGTTCTGGCTCCTCTCCTACTTTGTGATTGTGGAGTAGAGACTAATCCTGGAACAATGCAGTGTCCTGAGGTGTGCAAGTGTACCTGCTATCAGCCCGAGCGATGGACTGATTCAGCAACAGTGTGATAAAGATGATTTGGTCCCACACCAAAAAGCCTAGATAAGGTGGAAGGGTTCTTGGGAGTGGTGAGCCTATTTGCACACACCCCAGTCCCGAGATTATGTCTTTTGGTTCTCTCCCTAAAATTAGGATTCAAATGTGATTCCTTCTTTAAGCCTGCCCTTGATGTCTGCCTTTGGGTAAATGGGAATCACAGGGTACCAAAGCTGAACCTGAAGGAGAGATGAAGTGTTGAGAACACAGTTAACAATCACTGACAGCAGAGCTTCCTGACCCTCAGGTCTTTTTCCAAAAATGTCCTACTTGTCCCTACTAAAGGGAGTTGCTGTACAGAAATTAACAGACAGATGGGTGAACCAGGAAGAAAACAATACTAAAATTTTCAGCATATACTAAAGAGGACATTTTGAAATGATGGTAAGTTGTGTGTGATAGCTTACACCTTTAATGCCAGCACTTGGGAATTAGAGAGGAGAATATCTGTGAGTTCAGATGTTCTGAGGCTCCTGGTTATTTACATAAAAATGATAGGAAAACAGCAGGACAGAGAAGGGCATCCTTCTGGTCAGAGACAAGAAACATCCTTCTAAGGAAAAAACAGCCAACTCCAGGCACAGGATTAACAACCACTACCATGATTCCACTAAGTGAAGCACCGCCATGGTGACACACACCTCTCATCCCAGCACTTGGGGAACAGAGACAAAATGGCCGTAAGTTCTAGGTCAACCTGCTCTACATAGAAGGTTCAGGATGCCTGGACCACATAGTGTGAGATCACATTTCAAAAGACATAAATAATGTTAATAAAATAAAATTAAAAGACCAGCAACAAGATGGGAGATGAGATTATGACAGCAAAAAAAATTAACTCTTTGTTTTTATAATCTTATAATAATTTGTAATTTAATAAAGAGAAAAAAGAAATGGCAAACAAGAAATACAACCTAATAGAAAGCAACTGAAAAGAGATGATTCAAACAAGAAAGAAAATAGAAATACTAAAAGCATACAGGATGGGGCTGGAGAGAGGGTTTCAGCAGTTTCAAACTCTGGCGGCTCTTCCAGAGGACCTAGCTTCAATTCCCAGCATCCACGTGGCAGCTTATAACTGCCTGTAACTCCGACTTTAGGAGATCCAGAACATTCACACAGCCATGCATGCAGGCAAAACATGAATGCACATGAAATTATTAGAGAAAAACCTTTTAAAAACATACAGGAAATGGCAACCACGCCACCTGTGTGTGGCTGGTGACATGGAACAGACTGTCACAAGGGACAGCATGGCAAGTCCTCAACAGGTTACATGATTGTTATAGGTTATTGGATCCAACTGTCATAGGATCCAAAAGTTCCACATGTGTACATTCAAAAGAATTAAAAACAAAGGCAAGAGAGAGAAAAAGAGAAAGAGGGAGAGAGGGAAGAAAAGGGGAAAGGGGAGGATGAGAGAAGAGGAAAGAGGGAGGGTGAAGATAAAGAGAGGACAGGAAAGAGAGGGGAAGGAAGACAGAGAAGCAATGCAGAAAGGGTAAAATGAAAACATTGAAAAGAAAAAGACAAGGCACCGATAAAAGCCATTTGCAGCACTGATCAGATAGACTTGACAATATATAAAGAACTTTTATAACTCAATAATAAAACAAAATATAAAACAATAATAAAACAAAATAATAAAACAAAAATGTAATCTAACAGATAAGGGAAAACTGAAGTAGGCATTTCAGCACAGAGATCCTCCTGCCTCTGCCTCCCAAGATTAAAAGCATGCCTCAGCCATTAAAGGTTAGGCTCACAACCAAAAATATAAGAGAGATTTTTTTAACACAGTATTTGTATTATTTGCATTGATTATTTGGAAATTTCACACCAATCACTTTCATTTTCCAGTCCTCTCGGGTCTACACCCCACCCTTGTGACCTCCCCAAAAACAAAAGAAGAAGAAGAAAACAAAGTACAAGTTGCATTACACTGAAGGTGGTCAAACTCCCCTTAAAGAACCAGCCAGGCTGTGGTGGCACATGCCTTTAATCCCAGCACTGGGATGCAGAAGCAGGTGAATCTCTGTGGGTTCCAGGCCAGCTTGATCTACAAAGTGAGTTCCAGGATAGCCTGAGCTGTTACACAGAAAAACCCTGTCTCAAAAAAAAAAAAGAGGAAGAGGAGAAGGAAGAAGAGGAAGAAGAAGGAGAAGAAACTGGAGGAAGGGAGACAGAAAGAGAGGGAGGGAGGAAGGGAAAGAGGAAAGGAGGGTAGAAGGGAGGGAGAGAGGATCGTAGGGAGGGAAGGAAAGAGGGAGGGAGGAAGGGAGGAAGGGAGAAAGAGAGAAAGGGAAGGAGGGAGGAAGGGAGCTAAGCATCCCTACACTTCAGCATCCCTGTTACAGTTTTTACGAACTCTGTTTCTGTGATGCCAGGGAATCACGCTCAGGAACTGGTGTGAGGACCTGGTGTGTGGTACACAATGACTCTTCCAGCTGAGCTACATCCCCAGTCAGCCATACATGATATTTATCGCATCAAGCATTGGTCCATTAGAAAACATTAGCTCAAAAAGTCAAGCAGCTCTTTCAAATGTTGACCAACTTCTTTACACAATATTTTAATTGCATTCAATAATATCCCTTCCTACTGCATCAAGTATTTTGAAGCTTGCAAGCTCAAGATGAAAGAAACCTGTTTCCAAAATTCTAATTTTTTTTCATTTGAAAACTCAAATCATTACTGAAACAACAACAAAAAAGATATCAACTGATTTTCTTGAAGTGACAAGCTCACTTTGTTCATTTTGAAGAAAATGTCTGCCACACACATCCTACTAATCATTCTTTGAAGTAAAATGGGAAACAAAAGGGCCAGTGAAACCTACAGCTCAGTCCCAGCACTCGGTTTCCTCGTGCAGCCTCCCTATTTTGTCACACAGTATACACTGTGACATGGATTCAAGGGCTGAAATTCAGTAAGGAGACACACACTCTTCATTTTCCTTTTAACTGGCTTTTTTGGGTGTCTAAGTACCAGGCAAGGAAGATGCCTTGCCTACAAATGGCTTGGAAGGCAGCTATGCTCTCCACTACACCTCCACATAGTTTGATGTGACTATCATGGTTACTGTAGTCTGCCCACAATGTCCCCACCATTATTTTGGCACAGTATCAACACAGAAATTAAACTATTGATATTTTCATACAGCTATAAAAATGAACTTGACCACCCCAATTGCCTGAAAGTCCCTCTCAGATGTCTGAGGGTCTGTGGGACACATCTTGAAAACCTGTAGGATACATAGTCTTAAATGTTTATTACGACTGACGTGTGGGTTTTTTGCAATGGCTTCCTGTTCCTTTGTTTCTCATGAAGTACCAGTATGTTTTACTATTTCCAAAACTCCTAATACAAAAGCCATGGATTTGTTGTGGTTCTGGTCCACATATGTATGTTATAGAAATGCCTATAGAAATGAGAAATGGCACACATGTAAGTTCTCATTACAGTATTTTAATTAGACCCAAGAACAGGGCCAATAAGACCCCCATCTTGGAAGCCAAGGAACTAGGTGTTCAGTAGTCAGCACCTGGATTTAGGACTCAAGCCCACAGAACTATAAGAAATACACTGCTTTAAATAGCCCAGTCTCGGTTACTCTAACTAGGGAGCTGAGATGGCTTGGAGGTTAAGGGAGTGCACTGCTCTTCCAAGATCCAGTAGTACCCACATCGAGTGGTTTAAACCACCTGTAGCTCCAGCTTAGGGAGACCTATGGACTTTCTTTTGTGGCCTCTGCAGGCATCTGCACACATGTACATAGCTGCAGACTCAGAAGCAGCACACGCTAAGACTTCCTGCTCTCATCTTCCATATGCTAGAAGACGGAAAGAGCATATGATCCTATTGTTTACAGTTGTACAGGGAAACAATGAAAGGAGACACAGTCAACAAATTCAAGCATTAGTGAAATGAGAGTTAGGTTAGAAGATACAGATGAGAATATAGACTGCTGAATTTTGTAGTTATTTTAGTCAGTTCTTTATACTTTTGTAACAAAAATATTCAATAAACTTCATACTTTAAAAGCTGTACAACTTTAAGTGCTTTCAGAAACTTACCATGCCATCTCCCCAAATCAGTGGAGAAAAGTCTGCTTGATAGCTCAATGTATGCATTTGAGCAGTTGGAAGAAGGCTGATGCCTATATCCTGGTCTCCACAGCAAATTTTATTGTCTGCATTCTACTGAGGCAAGCTATTAACAGGGGTTTCAGTGTGGGGGTTCGCTGTTGGATGCTGAACAACAGTCTATGTGTTTAGACTGTATGGAGCCTAAGGTGTACACACACACACACATGCACACATGTACGCACGCTTGCACACATCAGCAGTCAGTATTTCTGTTTAAAAAAACACCAAACTGCTCGATTCTTTTTCAAACCACAACGTACTTTTAAAAAATATTTTTATGTTATATTTTATTTATTGGGGGCAGAGAACAACAACATTTGTGTGGATGTCAGAGGAAAAATTTAGGAATCTGTTCTCTTTCCACTTTGTGGATGCCAGCATTGAATTCAGACTAG